GGTATTGTTGATAGAAGCTGCTAAGCGTGGTAATTATGACAATATGTTTGGCAATATGCTAACGTTTTAGACAATTCTGGAGCTGACCTATTCTACAAGTAGTATTTATTTCAATTTTCAATTGAGACAACATGGAATATACTATGTTCATGTACATCCTTTCTATAGTATACTATTAGGTTATTAGGTCAGCAGAATTTATGAGAAAATGTAGGATTGAAAAAAAACGATGTATTCTTAAACAAGCAACAAGCAGTAGTAATATGTATATTCGGCAGGATGACCTCATACCGTAAAGCGCGCGGGATTAGCGTCGGAAGCTGCCCCTCACTCCTGCGCTACATCTGTACTGAGCAAATTGCCGGCAGGCACATGCTTATGTTTTGACTATTTTTGTGAGAAGAAAAGTATTTCGTTGTCCTATCCTTAGTGAAAATTGATAATTATATGATAAAAATGAGTGGCAGGAGATCTACCATTTGGAATCATTTTAGAGAAACTGACGACCAAAATAAAGTAAAATGTACTAATGTTATGTTTCTTTGTTTGATTCCAAAACCATATTATAAAGCTTTCTATTTGTTATAACTGGAACTAAATCTACAGTGCCTCAAAACATAACGTATATATACAAGTAGATTTAACTTAAATAGGATATACTTTCAACAGTAAATTATGAAAGACATGTCATTACTCAATTCATACATTTCAATACCAGTGGACACTGGGTACCACTTTAACGAGTGTTCGGTGATTAAGCCGAATATTCTGATGAGTACGAATATTCGGTAAAGCTGCCGAATATGCCGAATACCGAATATAAAACGAATATTCGGCCCATCTCTAACAATAAAGCCTCATATAGTAGTGGCATGCCATTACCTCTCTACTTTTCAACTTATAAGTTAAGCTTATCATTGTAATTTTTTATAGCACAATAGAAAACAGTAAATGGTATGCTTAAGAACTTGTAAAGGGGGATGCCCACTGTTCATAGACACTTCGGCCATTGGTGCCTACATATAAAAGCATATGGAAATGATAATATGCAATTAAAATAATGAAATGGTTAAGGAATTGGTTTAAAAAAAAGTCGGGATTTTTATGATATAAATGTTTTTATTTTCACAAATACAGTTTTTTAACGACTACTTTTACCAATTTTATTGCTTTTAATTTCTTTAACTTTTGTTTCCCGACATTTCAGGTGCTTTATAGCACCCATGGTCACGGGGGACTGAGGTGACTGCCTTCCCAATGTCAGTATTGGGACATGGAGTACCTTCAGCTTTTTATTATTACTTTTATAGTCCAATCTACGCAGATTGAACTTACTCTATCTTTAAGTCTTGCAGTGGTATGCTTGGGTTTAGTTTTAATTTTATTAATTATAGTGTCCCAAGCAGGTGGTAGTACCCAACCTCCTTCTCTATTGAAATTAGGATGTTTTTTAATTTCAATAGCCTCACATATCATCCTTGGTAGGAATTAAGGTTCTTTCGCGAGGATTTGTGGTCTATCAAATCTGATGTATGTCTATCTGGTTGGGGTGACAACCTTGACATACGGTAGTACAGCTGACACACGCTTAACTGCGGTCGGCTTCACTCGGTCACTGTGACGTAGACGTGGGACCCGAAGCTTGATTTTGTGCAGAACCTGCTTGACGTGCTGAAGCTCCGCGGCCAGGTGCTTGCTCTCACATATCCCATATGCTCTCTGTAACAAAGATTTGCTCACGGTAACTAACTGTGAAGGATGATGGTGAGATTCACCGCTTAAATATAAGTTTGTATGGGTCTTTTTTCTATACACAGTGTGACCTATGATGTTGTTAGGATTTTGGATAACAAAAACATCTAGGAAAGCTAAGAAATTATTTGCCTCTAATATAATATCATAATTACTGAATGGAATTTGGCACAGAGAGTGTAACGATGGATAAAATTCATAGGAACAACATCCTGATTTAATATTTCGCGGGCCATATTCATGAGCCGCTCTAATTTGTTTCTTGGCACTTGCAATAATGCCTATATGCATTCATCACTATCTCCTGTTCCTATTTTCATCAAATATACAGCAAGTGCAAAACATCCACTATGTTTACTTGACATTTTGGGAACTTCAGACAGAATTTATTGTTATTGTGCTTTTGATAAGCCTAGATAATAATGTACAGTATATTCAGGCATACTGTGAATATTTTAGAAGTCTGTAATATGGTGGTAAATATTATCTTACAATAATGTAGAAAAATCTATAATTTGTGCTACACTAAATGTTTTAATATGGTTATATATTGATTCTAAAAGTAAATACCAAGAGGTACTATTTAAATGATAGTTACTGATTCTACATTCTGGAGGTACATAGTAATTGTATTCACAAAAAGACATACCCACAATGCTGATGGAACAGTGAGTTGATTGGAATAGTTACAACCAGGAAAAAACATTGATTTTGTGTGAGTGGTGCTCTTACAAAATTAGGCAGCAGTATATTTTACGATTTATGATCTAAGCTTTGTTATTCTAGGTTCAATATATTACTCACTTTAGATTGCAACGAGGACGGACTAAATGATTCAGATGGTTCCCGTTCTAAAGTATAACGTGATGCTGCTTTATCAGTCCTTCGCCAGCAATCATGACACTCACGCGATGACGATGGCAACTGAAATAATATTAAATAAAAAAATAAGACAAAGTGAACAAAATAAAATAGATTTGTTTACTTTAAACTCAAATATAGGTAAATGTTACTTAAAACTTAATGCCCTATATTTTTAATAATTAAGGACTGACTGCCTACCAGTAGTCCAAAAACAATTAAAAATCGACTTTCTCATTTCTTGGTATTTGATAAAATTGTCCATTTTGTAACTATCTGGTGTTAGCTAGCTAAACTTATCGCCATGTTATAAATAAGCTATTATGTTTGTCAGATATAGCTTGTGCATATGTTAAAAACTAAAACAACTTCATCATTTCATTCATTCATCACTATCAAATATCAGCACTAGAATTAATGAATTAAAAACTGTTTAACACTTACTTTTAACTGTTGGCACACTATAATGTGATCGACAATCTCACTCCATATGAGCTCTTGAGAATTTATTTGAAAAATAACAAACAAAATAACACAATTGCGACTATTTAGTTGTGAATTCTCTAGTATCTTTTTACTTGTTATATTGTGATTTCATTTTCATTCCCAATTTCATGACATATTTCCTAGCTGTCAGATTTGATGTTGCCACATAAATACAATGAAGCGATATCGATTTTTGTTCGATTAGTAATTTAATAAAAAAAATAATATTTGAGGCGCTTTAAGTTTTACACACTTTTTAAAATATATTTTCTTTTATTTATTTAAATTCTTTTTTCAATGTATTTTTATGAACAGTTAAAATGTGGATTAGCGTATTGTCATGCTCTAAACAGTTCATGGTGAATCAGCTAAAAATTCACTTGTTTAATTATCATAACATGATTCCATTTTAAATGTATTGTTAAAACAGATAACAATAACAGTTAAATTGTGCAGTAGTATTTTGTTATACTCTAAAGAATTCATTGTAAATCAGCTAGTAAATCGCTTATTTAATTATCATAACTACAGATGGTGAAGGCGGTTGTTAACGTTTTCAACCAAGCCGATAACAACAGTTGTTTTTGGCTTGAAATTGATAAAAATATTTTTTGTGCAGTAATTGTTTCCCTTTCGTAATGAATAAACCACAGAAAGCCCTATAATGTAGATTAGTCCTTTTTTGAGCTACAAGTAGCTTATTTTCAAGAACCGCAATTACAATTTTGTCCTTTATACAAACACTAGGAAAAACAAAGTAACTTTTTGCTGACGATAATAATAGTAGTATTTTAACTCGATGTAGAATCTATGCTTGTTACAACGGAACTCTTCACTGGCTTGCGAGGCCGATTCACATTGTGCCACTTTTTCCAACTTTTAGTTATATTTTATTAATTATTTTTGCGTTTAAGTGGAGCTCTCTTATTTTAGATTTATTACCTATATCTAAAATAATCAACCTAAGTAGGTAAAGTGTGTAAATACGATTGTTAAATTGTAAAAATAATAATAGGATTTGATCATCTTAGGTAGGTATTTACTTTTATTTATTTAGAAAGTATTAATATCACAAATAATTATTTTAATAATATAATTTTATCACACAAATAACACCCTCATTAGCAATGTAATGGTAAAAGAATTTTCAAAATCGGTCAAGTATTTTTCGAGATTAGCTAATAAAAACATGTTCACAGAAAGTAGCGCCCTCTATAATAAAATGCATTCTACATTAGATATCTATAATTATACATAACATTATAGCGGTGAAAGTATTTTACGAGTTTAGCTAAATAATATATTCGTTGAAAGTAGCGTCCTCTATCATAAAATGCATCGTACGTTTCACAGTCATAATAGAATTGTAATGATGAAAGAATTTTTTAAATCGGTCAAGTAGTTTTTAAGCACCATTGCAAAAACCGATTCAGCTTAGCCGCCCGCACACACAGTAAAAACATAACCATCCTTTTTCGACTGTAGTCGGATAAACAACTGGTTGACTACGGTTGTGTATCGGCTGCTTTGGATAAATATCCGTTGTCAACGGTTGCTTTACACCTATATATATCATAAAACATTTTTTATACAACTATTGAATTACGCATTTACCTAATTTTATTTTTATCATTTCAGTACCTTTTTTGTGCAAAAATATTCCCATCTTTTTAGGATAAATGAGTACCGCGATTAATAACCATAAATAAAGATATATATTTTTTAACAAATGCGTATTGTTGGGCGTTCCATGGCCGAAAATGGGCATCCCCCTTTATTTTGTTTATAAAGGTCTTTCTTCTAGACTTCTAGATACTAGTAACACTATTAACATTACTTTCCAGTCGGTTCCATTTTATAAGGTTCATTTGTGTATCGGTAATATTGTTTGGTTGTTGCAGCGTGGCCGTTTTGGACGAAGTTGGTGGTGGTGGCAGTGGGTTTCACGGGTGGTGCTGTGTTCATGTACATACAATGCCGACAATACCTGCACCTTTGCAATCGCTGGCGGGCGCATAATAGGTATGCACTACGCACTACTTTAGCTTCACGTCGTGACACTTGTTATGGGTAACCTTGCCTTAATAATGGAAGAAATTATATTCTATTATTTTACTTTAATGATAAGTATTAAGATCAATTAACACCTAATTGCTCTTTGTGAGCAGAATGTAAAGAAGAAGTAGAAGAAAGAGGGAAAAAGGTCGTGGACAACAACCAAAAGCCTGGTTGCAAACACTAAAAATTGACTTGAATTTTACTAACACGTCAACAGGGATAATCCACAATCACACGATGTGAATTGCCTAGGAGGACTGACATCAGTTTAATTTGGCCAATAGACAGGAAAAAGTAGAAAAGAAGAAGATGAGCCGGCTGAGGTATTATGTAGATACCGTAAGAGACTTTGTAATATAAATTTGTAAAAGATGTGAGTGAAGTTTAGAACTAAGTTAAGGATACGTAATTATGAATGAAGAATATTAATAGAAACATGTAGGTAAAAGGTGTGACGTAGGTAGTAAAAATTATCGGAGGTTAGCATATCCACATACAATCAGCCTGATCAGCTGAGAGTTTTAAGGTTGTTCGGATACTATAAAATGCGGAATGAAGAGAATGAAGAGTTTTTTTAAGAATTGTATAGGAACATTGTTCATTATTTTAATCATGAGCTGTATACGTGAAATTTTTGGTACAAATATATATCAAATTATATGAGCTGAATTGCTATAAATGTAAGGAATTCATGAAATAATATTGGTCATTTTCTTGATTATGTAAGTACGGCAGCCCGGTACGTGAAAGAAATGGGACAATTATTTAAAGAATAACTAAAATGCTATTGGGCAAAATGAAAAATAAATAATAGTCAAACAAGATAACGTAAAATAAATGAGATGAAATAAATATATGAAGTGCAATAAACAAGATAATTATATAAAAATATGAGAATGAAAATATTATAATGTATTATAAATATCTGGACTAGATAAGTGATAAAATAACAGAATGTATGACTTAGGGACTAGTTAAATAAATGGCTAAGATATCGTATGAATAAATTGTAATTGCTCGCTAATGTATTCCGTAAAGTAAAAATCCCTGATTTTGAAAAATAAGTGTGCACACTTAACAACACGTCCACTTATATGTATAAACTGAATGAGGCCTGTTTTAACCTAACCTGATTTACTAGTAATTTGTTTATTAGATAGGAATTGTTAATTGATTAATTCGAACAGGAATAGATTTTTTATTATATTATGTATCAAGCAAAAAATAACATTCTATGTTTTCTTATTATTTTGTTGGTGGGAGGTGTACAGTGGCGAAGCTAGGGCTCCAAACTAGGGCAAGCCCAAGATATGGTTTTGTTGTTTTTAGCAGTTTTTTAAAAATACACTAATTTGTCTCCACTCTATAGATTGTATGACATATCAGCAATTGCATACCTTCGGTGGCTTTGAAAAAAGCCGTTTGGGTTTGCTTGAGCGAAAGAAAAAGATATTTATATACCATACAATACATTATCAAAAGAAAAGAATGAACAAAGTACGAAGAAACTATGTACAAAATTAAAAAGGGGCGTCTGGTAGTTGTGGAACATCGAAATTATTTTGTTTAAGTTGTATGCATAGAAGAAGAAATTACGACAGGCGTTAGATATGGTATAATGAAAAGATAAAGGTATTACAAATTTTTCCAAAAAATAATGACTGTTTATTATATAATTATTCATTTTCGAATAAACTGGTCGAAATGATATTTTTAACTCATATGGTAATATAAATATTGAATTATTAAATTAGCCAATAAGCGTGTTTCTGCCATCTAGCGTATTCTTTATGTACCACCGTGAAAGTCAAGCAATTTTCGTTCGATAAAATGACTTCACCTATAGAATTACGTAGATGGCGCTATTAAAATGTTAAAACATCAATACATATATTCTTTCGATTTAACATTAAAACTTAGGCTTCACATAAAAAGATTGTAACAATTATTTGCTATAAAATTAAACTTATACCTATATTATATTTTATGCTGCCGTTCAAAATATTTTTAACTCATAAGGTAATGTAAATATTGAATTAATAAACCTTCAAATACACCTAGCTTAATTAAACTTTAATACTAACGAGTTCTGCATTTATTAAAGTATGAAGAAATGTTTGTTGAATTAAAATTTCATTTTTAAAGATTTTATCTTTTCCTCGCTGATTAGCACTTTAACATACTTCAATTCATCACAAAGTACACTATTATCCTCAATTTTCACTAAAAAATCTTTAAAAAAGCATATACTTACAACTCGCAATATTCATTCGCTCAAGCTAAACACACAGAGTAAACATTGAAATGTGAAGTGAACTTGCAAACGTTTCGCCCGCGCTTCACTTTCATCAACTTCATACCAAAAGCCCGGCTTAAGGCTTTATGCTAAATTGCTATGTAAACAATTATAGTTATATCTTATTATAGAACATTTTGCCACTGGTTAGAAAGAGAGCGATCGTCTTCTCGAAAGCCCGGTAAAAAGCCCACGCGTGCGAGAAAGACGACTAATCGCTCAACTCAACTCTTTGCTTTCATTAATTTTGATAGTCCATTGCGTGTTTGCTTTGAGACAGAGAGAACACGAATCAGTGTATTTCGAATTGAAAGCAATTTGCTAAGTGTGGATGTTACATAATAAGGCTACGAGGTCATGATCTGTGTAGAACAGAGGAGTGCAGGGGAAATTTGAAATAGTTTAAAACAGTTTACGAGTTATTTTATTAGTTGATATTATTAATTGATCAGTTTGATAGGGAAAGCCCGGCTTCACGGCTTCTATGGAGGCTTCGCCACCGGAGGTGTAATGTAGTTATAGCCCACATGAAATAGTTATGTATTAGATTTAAGTTTGTAATAAAGAACAGCAGTATAATTAGTCATAATAATAGTAACAAGTCTCTTTGATTTAACACCTAACATTACATCACAAAAATCACAGCTTATTCTGTCATCTGTTAAATATTATTAGTTGACATCATTTTAAATTCTTGGGCGACATTTACTCTGTGTAAAACGAGGTGATCATAATATGAAAAACAAAATATGTTTGCATAAAACTAAGCGTATAATATATTATACTCTTTGCTTAGTGCGACCATTTGAACAGAGACTATATTTTTGACGTGGAGATGGAAGTCTATGGTTTGAAATATTTCATCAAAATATTTTTGAATATGTAATCATAATAATTGTATGAATCCATAACCATAACCAAAGAGAGAAGAGTTAGTATTTAAAAACAAATTTCTTTGGACCACAGGATACTGTTGATCCAGAACGCTCCTGAGAAGGTGCCTATAAGCGGGTCGCCGCCCGGGCGCAGGGTGCGGCGCTCGCGCAGCTCTCGCGGGCAGGTGGTGGCGAACATCGAGCCGCTGCCGCCGCCCGCCGCCTACCACGAGGAGGACGAGAGCGGCGGCTTCGAGACCTACCGCGGCAACCCGCGCCGCTTGTCCTCGCTCGCGCGCCAGCACGAGCCGCGCCGCCACTCGGACGTGCAGCACGCCGCGCCCGCCGCGCACACTCCGCCCCCCGCGCACGCCTCGCACACCGCACCCGCCGCCCCCGAGGTATGTATCTGTCCCTTGCTTTATCCGACCTATGTCCGGTTGAGTGGGTACGCGTTGCCACGCCGATCACACGGTCCGGTGGAATTTGTACGCGCTGCCACGCCGATCACATGGTTTGGTTGAGTGTGTACGCGTCGCCACGCCTATCACTCGGTCTGATTGAATGTTAGATGTGTACGTGTATGGCGCTGCGTACGCCGTTGCTCAAGTGGGAAGCACGCTGCAAATGATATTTTTCTTAACCTACATGTACGCCGCCTACATTAAAATCATATTCTAACCATAATGAAATGATAAATTGCGGATAGCTTTCACATGTTTACGTTTGGCAAACGAAATTTGAATCCCTTACGTAGAAAAATAAAACGTTTTTATTTCATTTTATTCATGCCTAGGTCAAAAGTAACATTATATAATAATAATAATAATTACTAAATACATAATAATAATATTTAAGCATTATTAATAAAATATAACTGAACTGACCTGGAAAGAAAGAAAAATAAATCCACTGGACATTATTTCATTATGCGTATTGGAATCACATTCGATTTATCGATAACGTGTACGACACGTACATGTGCACCACCTAGTGCGTCTTTGGTTGCTTTAACCGTGTAGTGGTGTAAAAAAATATACTATCACATATCGTCCCGTGGATGTCATAAAAGACGACATTAGGGAACTGATACAGGAAATGGATAGAAGAATCTTCCTCAAAATAAATGAAAATGATTAAAAAGTTCGGTTACCAACCCGCCTGCTAAGCGTGGTGGCTGTGGCAAAATCCTCTTCCTCCAATTATTGATATTGAACTGAAGTCACTCTAATTGAATTGCGCGTATAAGTGAAACATTTATAACCATACATTGCAAAATATAGTTTGACACCAGACAGGACTTTAAAATTCAAGAAAATTGTTCTGGTGGAAAAATGTCTAAGACGAAACTAACAATCATGGTTGCAGCAAATATGACAGGATCCTATAAAGTTAGCCTTTAATTATTGGCAAATCTAAGAAACCGAGATGCTTTAAAAACACGCACACTGCCAATAACATATGAAAACAATGTGAAGTCATGGATGAAAACTGATATTTTTGAAAGATGGTTATGAAATTGGGGCGCTGAATGAAAAGCAAACAATAAGAAAATTATACTTTTGTTGTCCTGCTCATCCGGCTGTTACTAACTTAAAGTGCATTAAACTTGTGCTTTTACCACCAAATGTTACATCTGTACTACAATCTATGTATAATAAGATGTTTAAAATTTCATTGTAGAAGACTGCAAGCATTAAATAAAAATACAAAACTTTGACAGTAATGGCCAGAAAAGCTTCACGGTTCTTGATATGCCATCTTGATGATATCAGAAGCATGGGAAAAAGTTTCACAAAAAACTATAGCTAACTGCATTGGGCATGCAGGTTTTAATAACTTCTTAACAATATCCTCAGATGTTTTTCTTTATCTACTACTGAAGTAGATAATTTTATTGATGTAGATAACTTTATTAAATTTGTGCACCAGCTACGGAAAATGATTTGTAAAAGAAGTTCAAGATAAAAACGAGGGACAGCAAGCAGAGACTGAAGAACAATTTACAGTGCCGGCTTTGAAAATTATGACGTGATACACTAATTAAAATCTAACGTGAACTACAAAATTCGTATGCACAACAGAAGTGTTCCAAGCAGACTAAAATTAGAGGTTTTATGAAAACAGAAAAATAATAATGTTCTTTCATATTATACGTTTTATGTCAAATTTGTATGTACCTACACATTTAATAATATTACTTAATAAAAAATTACTTTGTATTGTACCTCAAAAATATCACCGGGTTTTACGACTGTCGGTTTTTGCGACCAAATATGAGTAATCCTTTCGATGTCGTTATAACAGATTTTGACTGTGTCAATAATTGGAGGAAATATATTGACATTTTGTTTTCGCTATTTGATTACTGTGTTTTAATGTGAACAACTTTTTATTCTACGTGGAGAAATCCTTATGGATGCTACATAAAAATTGCCGCATTTTATTTACCTACTTTTAAGTATTGGGGGTGTTTATGAGAAATAAACGACGGACGAGCAGTTGACCGACCTAATATACAGCTCTATCCTTTGCGTGTAACAACATTAATACGACTAAGGTACTAGTTTTCTACTTCATTACGGGGAAAACCTTCGCAAAACGCATCGCATTGCACCCGCCAATCTGAGACAAGTTGGTAAACGTTTCATGTGCCTGTAATTTTATCGTACGTGAGTGTCGTGGATGCATGTGTGCGTACCTGCGTATTTGCGTACGTGTGTGCGTAAAATTTCGGCATGTAATGTTGTCTAGCCTTATTGACCACGTTGGCGACTTTCAAATAATTTGAGAAGCTATTAAGCAAGCATATGCAGATGCACTGGTATCCTTTAACCTAACCGTATCTAATGCAACACTTGCGAGATGGAATCAAACCACAGACATACATCAAAATAGATAACGCAAGTATCGCGATCTGTACGAAATTGAAGCACATTAATTCTGTCTGTGAGTGAAAAAATTTTGTACCTACTGTGACGTCACAATTGTTATGTAATAGTGGGGAACGTCTTTCTGCGCTTAAAAACGTTGAATTAATTTATTTGTAGTAGTCAATTATCGGTTTGTTATAAAATTAACTAGCTTGCCAGGCAGACGTTGTTCTGCCCTTTTCGACGACCATTTATTATGTCCTATTAAAAATCCTTAAATTCGCAAAAAAAAATTGTGGGTCACACATGGTCAAAAAAACTATCCTATCTCTCAATTTGGACCAAACTAATTGGGGATGCTGAGAAATAATTGATTTTTAAAGGGGGCGGTAAAAGAAATAAGTTTGATAATCTCTGACTTAAATCTATGTCCGTGAATCGGACGTAGATTTGATCAGAGATCCGAAACCAATATAAATATTATTTTAAAATTTCAGAGTAGAAAATAGATAATAATAATTAGATAATTTTTTGAAAAACGTTACCCCTACACTAAGATTTTCTCTTGTATCGTAGGGGCAGTTTACAAACATAAATTGCACAAGGACAAACATCCAGAACACAAATAAATTATTTGTGTTCTGAGTGAGTCCGTTTGATTTGTTATAAAAAGTTGTGTAATCTGCATTGTAAACGTTACACATAGGGAGGAGTGTACCACATAAGCGTGGACCCGTTAGAAGCGGACATAAGAGAGCTGCTGGCGCTGGAGGCGAGGAGAGAAGCGCGGGCGGCGCGCTCGCTGCCGAATCTGCGCGCCAGCCGCGAGAGCCTGCTGCCGGCGCCGCACAGCGCGCACGTGGCGCTGGTGGCGCACGCGCAACATGTGGCGCCGGCAGCGCTCGCCCCGCCCACCGCGCCCGACCCCGCCTCCTGAGAGTTCCGACCCGCGCGCCGCCCCCCGCTGCCGCTGTTGCTCTATACCGACGACACCGTCTACTAGCGACATCAACCTTCCATTCCAATTCGATCCCTAGTTACTACAATTACACCGTGACTAACGAACTTATATGCGGACGTTTTGGAACTGATTAGACCGGAGGAGACGATTGTCGAAATTTGAAAAGTGAACTGTTTTGTTACATCTAAGCATTATTAACTCGAGATTGGCGAAATCGCGACATTTAACTATTTTTTGCCTTTAAATCTAAGCCTCAGGGTGTTGGCCTTATTAATGGCAAGTGTAGCTAATGGTTTCGTTTGCTAAAATGAAGGTAGTTTAACAGTGGGCCAATAATAACGATAACACCACAGTCTTAAGTTAGTTATGCGATAAGTAATGATTTTTCTACAGGGTCGCTGACATAACGTAATAGTTTGTATAACAATCAGAGGTGAGTAAAATATCTTTTAAAAATTACCTACTTAAGATTTTGTTATTCTTGAATTAGTTTGATTTGACTTGACTCAATATGTTTATTGTACTTGAGGTTGTTGTACTTGACTACGTGAATCAATTCAAAGATTTTGTTATTAAATCTAAGATCGCCTAACGCCATTTATGCCAATTTGTATTAGCTAGTAAAGTGCAAAATGGGGACAACGTAGTAGATCACAGTGCACGCTAGGGCCTTAATATATCTAGAATTAAAAGCTCTTGTCAGTATTATTTTTTAAATATTTTTCGTATTTATCTTTGGGTGTTATCATCAATACTTCGGAATCTGATAGTAAAACGTGTTCTGTACTAAATTTAAACTCACAGATATGTATTATTTATTTATTTGTTCATTAATGCTCCGCTTTTATCATCTTCGTTTAAAGGGTTATAATGAACGGACTTAATGTCTTTTGGAATTCTCTATCTTACACATTTCTAAAACAGAATTTGAAATAGGAGCGATAAAGATATTGGACGGCCGTTTTGGAAATAAGAACTAAATAACATAATGTGCAATGGCATTCTTGCTGATTTTGTATTATTTTTATAATAATTTATTTAAGTAACAACTTCTACTATGTATTTGTCAAAAATAAATGAATCATTAATTATTTAAAATTGAAAATATAACTACACTTCATATATGAAAAGCAAATTACGTCCTGTGTTTATTGTTCTATGTGTTTGGCTTTAGTTAGGATTTTGTTTTCGCTCCATGATTTAGCAGACCGGTGCTGACCAGTGACTACTGAATCACGTACCCAAGTCCATCCTCGCTTTGTTGTTGGAAGTAGCTGCCCAAAAAGGGTACAGAAATAATCCTCGTTTGTCAGAATTTGCGTAATTTATTTCAAATTAATTATTTTAATTCAATCAAAAACAGTTAAGCATGCCTCGTATGGTCATGCTAATCGCATGATAATACATTATGAGCTTTTTCGCGGTAGGTGTGGTGTGCTCTGTTAATGAACACGAATGTGGAACATCAATTAGAGCATAAATTTACTGTCGTTTTCATCATTTTTCTGTCAAATTTAGTGACTGGTAATGTTTAATCTATGCAACTTTGATGGTCGATTCTAATTGATTTTTGAAATAGAGGATGTATTATTTGTATGAATTATAGATTTAGAGAATACTAGCAAAATATTTTAACCCCCTGGCCACACACTCGTCGAGTGGCATGAGAGGTAGCGAGGAAAGGAGGCAGAGGCATAGTGTGGCCACAATACTCGTCATGCCGCACGTCATGACCATCACTCCCTATTTTGTAGGTTTTTTGGGCGCGAGACAAAAGACTGGCAATAAGAGCGCGAGTGGCTGGCGAAACACTCGCACAAACACAGTCCGAATCGAGCGCTCTTTACGGAAGCACGTCACGCGTCATTTAAAATCATAAATAGTGTACCTATTATCAAATTCAGCCATATTATCACATGAGTAAATAATATACAGAGAAAAATCTATCTCGCCGACGACCACATATATTTATTTATATGACATTGATATAATTAGCTATAATAAATATGCATAGCTCGCACGCTGCAACAGTTTCGACATCCATTGTATTGCAAACGCGAGAAACCTACCTATAGTTCATGCCAAATCGATTGAGAAAAACGGATATTGACCTTTCAGTCGTTTAATCAGGGGCTACAAACCTTCAATATATAGGCACTTTTTATATGTAGTACTTTATTTATAAAGATTTTTTATAATGATTGATATAATATATATTTATTAACTATTATTAAAAAGTTATGTAAAAGATCGCTGTAGAAGAAAAATCATCTATTGTTATAAAGTACTTTATTTATTTAACAATAAAAAGCATTAATTTATAACACATATAAAGATTCGAGTGATAACGACACCGAATAAGTACGTACTTATTTAAAACATAAAACTTTATTTTCAATATTATATAAGAACTTTATTTTTATTCGGTGCATGCGGGCCGGCCCAAAAAAGTGACGCATCTCTGACTGCCATTGGCACGTTTCTTTTAGAACGAACTGACGTAACGCGCGTTTTGTTTATTTTAAAGGGATGAATTTGCAAAAGCTCAATATGGTGAATATATTGTAAAATATTTTTTTTAATATGAAACTTATTAAATGAATTGCTGCGTTACTTACCATAAATTGAAATATAAAATATAACACATTTTTCGCCATGTACCGTAAGATTTTACGATGTTTATAGGATCCACAGACAATATTATTTAAGAAACAAAAAACAAAACATATGTGCTGACCTAGTAGTGTGAATAATATCAATATTTAAATATTGTTATCACATCTAAATTGAGATTTTACGCCTTTTGACACTCGGCTCATATCTGAGGTCATCGTCCGTTTTTCGCAATCGATTTGACACGAACTATAGTGCGGAGCATTGCTTTATTTTTATTATTTATTTAACTGGCTTTACGGCTCTGGGTTCTAGCCCTTCTGAGCCTATCATTTCTTTCGGAATCTTCATTTTTATATATTTCTTCTTCACAATATGCTGATCCGTCATATTGCGAAGTTTTCGGGAGATTATGACGGCAGCTCAACCCAGCGGACAGTTGATGACGACAACCCCTCAAGTTAATAAAGCGCCCAAGCGATCAGAATAACTTGAGGCTTATATCAACATCAATGCACTTGTTTCGTCGTTTTCTCTAATAGTTCACATGCGCAGACTATTCACAAAATCGCATCACTTTTACGAATCAAAATCCACTTTAAACCATTATTCAAGCGCCAAACAGTTCCCGCCAAAACTCCCGGAGCATTGCGATTATTTGCGCGAGTAGAGCAGTGTGACAGAGAGGGCAACATCGCGGCAGCGTGAGGAGCAGAGCGATGAGCAGCGCGAGGAGTATAGTGTGGCCGAGCAATAAAACGTATTTCAAAAATTTAAGAAAAAAATGGATTAAGGCGACAGGAAATAAAGATTGGTTCCCAACAATAAAAGAATCACAAAATAGATGAACGAATCAGTTTACACAAATATATATTTGAATTATAGAACTAAAACGGTATACAGGGCGCAGTGTCTATAATGGTTTAGTGTGGAAAGAGGTCGTTCATTATTAAATAACGCTTGTGACGTCACAACAGGTAGAAAAACGTGGCACGCATAGTTTTCATACAGATACTTCTTAAGGCGATACCCCGACCAAAACCTTGCAAAAGTGCGTTTTTCAGAGACTATTGTCTCATTAGTTATGAGAAATAAGCTACATCTAAAAGCACATTATTAATGTTCGATATCTTATCATCACATTCCAAGTTCTAAATTGTTTTATGTGTTATAAATACATTTAAAATCTACTTTTAAAAAATGACTAAAATTATCGATTACATGCATCTGTTGCTAAAGGAAACTCTCTAATCATTTGAGAATTACGCTAACGGATTGATAATTTAAAAATCTATATTATTCACGTTTTATTTAATTACTTAAGTTCACTTTTCTTTTTTAATTGAAATAATTCCAAAAATTCGGGCGTATTTTTACGCGATATATTGTAGCGGGAGCGCGTGAATTGTATAGGACTGAACGCTCAAGGTCGTTAGCTAGGGGAAACGCTTTAAGATCTTTTCCGTAGATCCAACACACAAAAACCTACTTGTGGGAGGTTAAGAGTGAAGTCTTAATCGCTATTCAGTGATAGTGGCTTTTTTCTATTTGTTTGTAAATTTTTAACTTTTTATTGACTATTACTATAAATTACTATAAATTAATTTCGTCAAAAATAAATATATATACTATATTTATTTTTGACGAAATTAATTTTTATCTTATTATATATGAAACTATTAGCGTTAAAGATTATTTTGGCAAATTTAATACAACGAAACTATTGCCCGACTGCGTTGAGTTTGAGTTAATGTGTAAATGTTTATGTTCTAATATTTTTTCTAAATACTACTAAAATTTTACTATGACGCATGAATATTAACGTTTAAAACCGGTGTATATGTTATAACTGTGGTTAATCGTCAAATCGGTTCCTCCGTCTCATTATATAAGCGAATGAAATATCTCATGACATTGGCTTAAAAGCGAGACAATTTAATGTGCGAACAAACTATGTATATAAAGATATCAATTGTGTAAATATTCTAAATATACAGTAGTAAATATTAAAAATATCATAATACCTAGTGGTCGAATTAGCACTTCGTATGTTTCGTTCATCGATCGTCAACTCCATTTGTCCATTATTAACATTGTTGAAATTCCTTTAAAAATAACACACTTGCTTTATAAAAATACTCAATCGAAAACTTAAGCTTGTTTTAACGAGTGGTTACTAAGAATTCAAAGATAAATTTTTATGAATTGTAAGTAACATCTAAATAAGAAAATACATTAACCTCAAATAACGTGATACCCATGTTTCGAAATATGCATTCAAATTTAAAGTAAAAAAATAATTGGAATTATTTGAAACTATAATAAAATCCGTCCTTTGATCTAGTCACTATTTCAAAAGATTA